TCCAAATTAGTGGGTGGGATTTTAAGCATGTAACTTTTTCTCTGTGCTTTAAAAGTATTAAAACCTTCATCCCCACCCCCTAAGTAGGGTCTCCACCTATCTCCTTTTCTACATTTGTAAAGAAGAAGCCGGTAGTGTCTATCTTGTAGGTGTGTGTGTGTGTTTTTTTAATGAAAACAAATGCCTGTGTAAACAAGTATGTGGCACGTGGTTGGCAGGTGGGTTGGAGCAAAGGCAAGAGGTGTGGTCTAAGAAGTTTGGGGGTAACTGAGAAGGAAGCCAAAGTGAGTATGAGCTGTAGTTGGAGAGGAGAGGACCTGGAGGGGAATGACTATTAAGATGGGGTTCCCACCCAAACTGCAGGAAGGGTACTTTGTAGAGATGTGGTTAGGGGTTGATGAAAGGGAGGGAGGGAGGGAGGATGGGTTGATGGAACCCCCAGATCACACTTGGGGGAAATGTGTAAGGCAAAATGGTGCTCGGGCCAGGTACTTTTCATTGCATCTGCAGACTTGGAGGGCTGGAAGGCTACAGGCACTGGAGTGGGCCTACAGGTGGGCTCTATGCAGGGACAGCACTTGGCAGTCAGGGCTTGGGCAGGCCAGCCCCCCAGCTCAAGATGCTCGGGCCTGACAGTACTCCCTACTTTGTCCCTGCCTCCCCAGCAGACGCAGAGATGCAGATCTTTGTGAAGACCCTGACTGGCAAGACCATCACCCTTGAGGTTGAGCCCAGTGACACCATTGAGAATGTCAAAGCTAAAATCCAAGACAAGGAGGGTAAGTTTGGGTAGCTATGGGTGCTGAGGCCTTGCCAGTGCTTTTTCTGCATAATTTCAAGAAGGCATTTTATTTCTATCTGGGTTTCCCTTCTGACAGATTGGAGTTAATGGTGGAGAAGGGGGGGGCGGGGGGGCGCGGAGCTGCCAGTAATGCTTGCCAGAGCCTCAGTAACTGAGTTTCTCTCAATCCCCAGGCATCCCACCTGACCAGCAGCGTCTGATTTTTGCGGGCAAACAGCTAGAGGATGGTCGCACTCTCTCAGACTACAATATTCAGAAAGGTATTGTGTGTGCGTTGGCTGAACAGGGCCCCATAAAACCTGGGGCCCAGGTGGGACATTGATGTCAGTGGTGTTTTTCTTGTCTTTTTGTTTATTCTCACGGAGGATAGTTTTCCCATTGGTTTTTAGGGGGGGGGGGAGAAACATTGATTGGTTGCACACACCCCAAATTGTGCAGGGAAGGAACTGAAAAACCAGATATGTGCACCAAGTATGTGCCCTAGACTGGGAATAGAACACAAGACCCTCCAGTCTGTGGCTGATGCTCTCACCATTGAGCACACTGGCTGGGGCTGTTTTGTCTTTTTAAGCTTCATCTGAAGACATGCTTGTTTGGTTTGTTTGTTTGTTAATCCTCACTCTGGGATATTTTTCTCATTGACTTTTCGAGTGGAAGAAGGGGGGGGGTGCGGTGTCAATCCATTGCCTTCCCATACGCACCCAAAACTTAATTATGTGCCCTGATCAGGAATCAAACCTGCAGGCTTTTGGTGTAGGGGATGAAGCTCCAACCAACTGAGCCATAGCGGCCAGGGCAGAGGCGGGTGGTCCTTAAGGTGAGGATCAGAGGAGGTGGGGGAGACTTGCTTTTACAAGGTACTGTTTTCATCCCTGGAAAACAGTACCTGTGTTTCCAAATGGCAATAGTTTCCCATGTTCTTGTTCACCTTATCTTTCTCTCTCTTGTTGTTAATCCTCACCCGAGGATATAGTTCCCATTGATTTTTAGAGAGTGGAAAGGAGGGGGAGAGATAGACATAGATAGACGTGAGACACATTGATGTGGTTGCCTCCCGCACTTTACCCTGACCAGGGCCGGTGATCAAGCTTGCAGTCCAAGGGCTGATGCTCTATCTATTGAGCAACCAGCTAGGGCCACCTTTTCTTTTTTAAAACGTGTTTTTTTTATTTTTAAAAAAATGTAACTACTATACGCCCTAACCAGTTTGGCTCAGTGGATAGAGCGTCGGCCTGCGGACTGAAGGGTCCCAGGTTCGATTCCAGTCAAGGGCATGTACCTTGGTTGCAGGCACATCCCCAGTAGGGAGTGTGCAGGAGGCAGCTGATCAATGTTTCTAACTCTCTATCCCTCTCCCTTCCTCTCTGTAAAAAATCAATAAAATACATTTTTTAAAAAAATGTAACTACTATAAAGGAAATCAGTGCCACTCTTTGCAGCAACAAGCTTTAACTGTTCTGCCTAGCAAAAATAAAAGGTCAGCCTCACACCACTTAGAAATGACCTTACCTGTTGGGAATCCAGCTGGACAGCATTGTTGGCATTTTTTTTTATTATTAGCAATAATTGTGCCTTGGATAAACCTCATTGGCTACGATACTGCCACTGCGCAAACCTATGTTGGCATTTATTAGCCTCAGACTCTCCAAGGGCTGGTGTGGCCATCACACAAAGGCTCTGCCCTGCATCTGTGGGCCAATTGTTGGGCCCAGGATGAGTCACTGCTTCTCCCCAATCTTCATTTACTATAGAGTCCACCCTGCACTTGGTGCTGCGTCTCAGGGGTGGCATCATCGAACCCTCCCTCCGCCAGCTCGCGCAAAAGTACAACTGCGACAAGATGATCTGCCGCAAGTAAGCATGCTTGGGGGTGGGGCCTGGTGGAGAGCGGTCAGATGCCCTGACCAATCCTTCCTTTCTCTGCTCAGGTGTTACGCCCGCCTGCACCCCCGTGCTGTCAACTGCCGCAAGAAGAAGTGCGGCCACACCAACAACCTGCGCCCCAAGAAGGTTAAATAAGGCCCCTCCACCAACTCCTTGGGTCCACAGGGCAGCCTTCTACCTGAACCCTGTGACGCTGGGGCCTCAATAAAGTTTCTGTTTTGTTGACTGGAGCAGTAACTGGTGTCCATGTGGCTGGTCTGTCTAGTGGGGAAGGTGGCCAGGGGTGGGTATCTCCCTTGGGGACTCCCTGTTTTGTGAGTCCTTGGGTGTTCAGGTGTGGGTGGGTTCCAGAAAGTTAGGAACACCCCACCTAGTGGAAAACACCTGTTCTCAGTTTAGAATCTTAAAAGCACACGCCCCACCTGATGATTTTGGAGGGGTAAACCTTTGTGGTTTTTCACGACTTTGTATGATGCTTCTGCAAATCAGGGACAATTGGGGCTTGGTGTATGTGACAACTCGGGCCTGGAAAATGTCTAAGAATAGCTGAGACCTGCAGTGCCAGCTAATGCTGGAATCTCAGTTCAGTTTCATCTGTCAAACCACACACCCCCTCCCCCCTTCTCTGAGCCAGGTCACCACCATCTTAATGATCTTCCCATTTCCACCCCTGGAGAAGGAAGCGTCTCGGGTCAAACTGGTGAATCCAGCACAAAGCTTGGAGGCCACTTTAGTTGGCCTCGCCCCTGCCCCAAGACTCCTCCCTTCAGATTATTTACTAAAGTCGCCTGGACCTACTTGACCTCGAATGTCAAGCTGTGTTGAAACCCCACTCTTGTCAGTCTTGTGAGACTATGTGATAGGATACCAATTTTGTGTGAGGTCGGTATGTGTTGACCTAGCACAGGGGTCCTCAAACTACGGCCCGTGGGCCACATGCAAATACAAATACTGTATTTGTTCCCGTTTTGTTTTTTTACTTCAAAAGATATGTGCAGTGTGCATAGGAATTTGTTCATAGTTTTTTTTTAAAACTATAGTCCGGCCCTCCAACGGTCTGAGGGACAGTGAACTGGCCCCCTGTTTAAAAAGTTTGAGGACCCCTGACCTAGCATAATAAAACGCCTACAAACCAAGAGATAGCCTTGCTATGCTATACATGCAAGGACAAATGAAAGAAGGCAAAACAAGGTTGGGGTGGGGGTGAGGTGTCTGGCCTGAGAAGTCCAGTCTTCAGTCTCCCTGCTCCGGGGGTTTCCCATGTGGCCGGCCACTGGCTGAGATCCAGAGGCCTCCAGGCCTACAGGGGGCGCTTATCGCAACAGAGCAGCCACCCGGGCGTGGCCAGGGCTGAGCAATCATGATCACCTCCGAGGCCGAGGCTGAGTCAGCGGTCCCCACTGTGCCCGAAGCTGGGGCAGTCAGAGGAGACCCAGACCTCAAGGAACCAACATGGCCTTGGGTGAGCCCAGGGCCCGAGCAGGAACGGGAGCGGGGCGGGTGGTACAGGTTCGGGAGCGCCGGCTTCATGCCCAGCCGGATGCCCCCTGCTCCGTAGAAAGATGCCCCGATCCGGGCGCTGGTGCAGCGCATCCACCAGTTGCAGGCTGAGCGTGCGCAGGCCTTCCACCGCCTGGAGGAGTAAGTGGCAGCGCCGGAGTCGCAGGGTTCAGTCCCCTACCTGCTCCGGAGGGAGGCAGGCCGGGGCCAGAGCTGGGTCCCCGTGCAGCTGCTGGGGCCCAAGCGGGGTGGGGTTTGCGAGATGACTCAGGGTGTATCTCCACTTCCCCAGGTCCCACCCAGCGGGGTGGCTCTCCCTTCCCCAAGCTCAGCGGAGTGTCGGGTTCCTCTGCAGGAGTCATTGTCCTCCACACACGGGTCCAGGGACACTTCGTAGGGGGTAGGGCTTTCAGGTGGCCGATGGGGGTGCAGGGCCTGTGAGCCTGGGGGCGTAGCCTCAGTACCCACCCTGCCGCAGAGGCCACCACCAGTACCTGCGCAGCGGCCCGCCATACGACTTCCCGAGCTACCGGAGCACAGTGCACGAGGTGACCCAGGCCTTCGCCGCTGCCTCCAGGGAGGTGCTGGCGGTGGAGGCCGAGCTGGCCGGCCCTAGAGCGCAGCCGCTGCTCGCGGGCCACGTGCGAAGCCTACAGCAGCTGGAGCAGACACGCCTGGCCACGGTGAGGCCCTGCCCCCTACTCCAAACGTAATCTCTCCCAGTGGGCCTGCTGGGTCCACTCTGGGCCACATAGTCACAGTCCCTGTTCCCGGAGTCCCAGACCCCACCCCACCTCAATCTTCCTCTAAGGCTTCATTTGAGATTCTCCGACCTCCTGGTCTCCACCTGTCCGCAGGGTTTCATTCCAGGCTTTTAGTCCCAGAACATATCCATCCATCCCAGTCCCTGCTTCCCTGTCCTGGATGACCTGCACCCACCCCCACAACGCTCCTCCCCTCTGGCTATTCTTAATGCTTAATGCTCAACTCCCTGCATATGGGGC